CCTCTTTGTGGTTTCTTCATATGCCTTTGAAATAGCCTGTTTCTGACTGCTGCTCCTATGAGTCAGTATGTCTATCAGTGTCTTCTCAGTTGTACCTGGTACAATATATATATTCATGTATACACAGAGAATACACATATTGTATTATACATATAATATAGTACGGATAGATTATGTACCTATGCCTTCAATTGCTTTACGGAGAGCTGCAACATCTTCACTGACGTTGAAGTTAGATTTGGCTTTAATGGTACCTCGCTCCCCTGGCTGAAGAAGATCAAGAAGATCAATCAATCAATATTACAAAAAATGTGTTAATAGTTTGAGACAACAAGTCCCAGTCCAGTTTCTCCAAAGTGTATCAAATAAGAACCAATTATACACACACACACACATATATATATATATATATATATATATATATGTACACACACACACACACACATTTATACATAGTTGTTTGTTTACCGCTGATGTGAATGAAACAGGAACAGCATTCGCAACACTTTGCAAGTCTTCCTGCAACACAAGAAATTAAATAAATAATAAACGCTCTTCAAATTCATATTCTTTACTTAAACAACAGATATGACTGAATGTTCCTTTAAGATTTTACTTACCCACAGGTTTGCCATTTTTGATTAATTCTATTGTGATAAACAATTAATATATTTACAGTTCAGAATCCATAAGGTACATTATTTTTCATATTCATTTTATTTTTATATACACAAAAAGGTAAACAGATTTCAAAGACTCAGCGATAGCCTAACAGAATTGAAAAAAAAAAACTTTTTCGTGACTCGTGATTGACTGCAGCAGTCACATAACCGCCTTCTCAATTTCTAATATCTGCTTCGATTCTATATCAAAAGCAGATGCGAAGTTAATCGAACGAACACGGCTTTGAAAGTGTTACCTACGTTTATATATAGGCTATATGTAATAATTTATTATTCAGTTTGCACTTACCTTTGCGATATAAATCAACACTGAACGTGTCTCCCTGTCCGGTTTAACTTCTCCTCACCTGCTTCCTCGGGGCGTTTGCGACACGATGTGTCATTTTCACAAAAGACAAGCATTCTTACGGAGCCTCTCCCTTCATGAACATCCAACGCGCTGCTATAATATACCATTTGATTCAGCAGGAAAATGACACTTTATTTTCTTCATGATCATTTAACCCCTGTCAAGGCGATATATCAGCTTTTATTATTATTCAACTATTTTTTATGGATTTTAATTATTATAAACAACATTCTTCTTAACTCACATATTTCACACCAAAACATATAACTACAAACATATACACACCCCTAAAAGGTTAATTATGATCAATTATGATATAGTAGCCGGGTCATTCAGCATCCGGTGCCATTTGAGTCCCCATGATATAATGTGGTATATTTTCTGTAAAAATGGGCTAATACTTGTTTCTAAATGCTCATCTTACAATGTTACTGCCCCTCTACCATAGAACACAATAAATATGTACCCAAAATTAATTCATTAAAAAATAATTACTCATATCTTAGTGCAAGTAGGCTAAACTGCCATGTCCCCAAGTAAGCTTGCATAACTTCAGCCACAAATATAAGTAATAAAACTCAAACAAATTCCAAAATTTTCAATATTGTTGTATATTCTTATTTGTAATATTCCTCAACAAAATATATATTTTTGTTATTTATACATTTTTAATACTTAAAGTCTTTAAAACATGTTGTGTCCCTGAATTGAATGTCCCCCGTTTCTCTGATGAAAAGTCCCTCTGTACGGCCCTTGAATGTTTCTCTAATAACATGACTCTCAGGAAGTATAATACTTTTTGGGGGCAAACTATCTACAAGAAGCAGAGTAATTAACACTCCTTAATTCGCCCCTTTATTTAGTGTTTTAGAATGATTCACTGATGTGGTAAAGTATAATACGTCCACCCTGTTATGCTTATTTATAGAAGAAACTGGTAATTTTTTGTCATTTTGAAAATATGGTTAATAAACATGTTAAAAATCTTCCTCAGTGATCACTACGCACTATCTTGTTGTTCATCACATGAACAGCAATAGCTGACTTTAGCAAAAAATGTCCCTCCTGTTACTGTCCACCCTGTTACTGTTTTGCACTGTAACAGGGTGGACGTATTGTAACAGTCGATGTAAACATAGATAAATAAGTGTTTACAGCATGTATTGGTACTTATAATTATTTTACTATGCATTTAAAAGAAAGAGTTGTTTAAATGGTATGCATGTATTTGTCAGGAAATGGCACTGTTGTCTGCTGCAGAAAAGCAGCAACACTACAAGGCTCATCGTGATGCAGACCCTGAAATAAGGCAGATATACCTAAAAAAGAAGGACAGGTGGAGAAAGGGAATAAAGGAAGATAGAAAAAAGAGTGTTAGAACTCAGCTTTGTTGATTAGGTAGAAACTGTAATTAAATTATCTTGATTTTGCCATTGTAGTGTGTGTGTGTGTGTACTGGTATTCCCTATGTTATGGGGTCCAAATGTCCCCACAAATATAGTGATACCAGTAAATTTTGACCTTGTGGGGACATTTATTTGGTCCCTTTGAGGGAATAAAACTTATAAGTCATACAGAATTAAGTGTTTTGAAAATCTAAAATAACGGTAGTTTTGTGTGAGGGGTAGGTTTAGGTGTAGGGTTAGGGTAAAATACAGTTAGGATACAGTATAGAAAATACAGTTTGTACAGTAGAAAAACCATTACGCCTATGGCATGAACCCATAACAATAGGAATACCAGTTTGTGAGTGTCTGTGTGTGTTTGAGAGAGAGAGAGAGAGAGAGAGAGAGAGAGAGCAAAATAATGTTCTCTAAAAAATAATAATGCTCTCTATAATTTTAAATTGTAAAATACAATGCTAAACATATTTTGTAGCCTAATAAAGGGATAGTATAACAAATGAGATCTTATTATAATAGGTATAAGAACAGCTTACTTTAATGTGGTGTAATTGGCCTTATATCCTATAAATTGTTATATACAGAACAATTTATATGTTGTAGTGATTGTAAATTGTGACAATATGCTTCTTGTATTAGGCAATATATTGACAAATACTGTTGTTCAGTGGTGTGATGTCCACCCTGTTATGTCCTGTCCACCATGTTTCCTCCCTGTCCACCCTGTTACCTCAGTAGTTTATATATATATATATATATATTAATAAAATAATTTCAACAAATGTGTTATGCATATCTTTGTTGTTACTTGTAGGGAATGAAATGGTAAAATGAAATCATTTAAAATTTGGCCAAAATTCCATTGAAATTTATTTTTATTCTAAAATAAATGTGTTGAAATTACACTGTGTCTTAAAATACACCAACTTTTTTTCAAGATAATGCCCGATTATGAACACGTTGTTAAAATACATTTGCAGGGTAAAGAGAGGGACATTTTAGCTCTTACAAAATGTAAATATTACAATTACTGTGCATTCAAGGCACTTATTAATTGAGATGAGAATGTCCTTTAACAAGGTGGACATTTGGCCCTTGCATGTGTGAAGAATTTCATGCAAAATTATTAAAGAATAATATCCTGAGCTGGACCAATGTATTTTTCTTTTAGTGTAACAAGCCCTTCTTCAGTTAAAATGATTACATCATGGAAATTTAAAAAAATGTTGTGAGAAAGTTACCAAGCTGAAATGGCACCGAATAGTAAGAATGACCCAGCCCATGAGGATTCACTGTAAGATAAAAAGGGCTGCCAGACCCTTTAGAACATTCCGTACTATATTTAAGGTGCTCAAGTTTAAGATATGAAATCACCTCTACTACCCAGTGTTTGTGAGATGGTGGCCTCGCCTTTTTCCATCTAAGAAGAATCTAGTTAATAATGATTCAGGTCTGCTGGTTCCAAAACACATCTGGGGGAAGATGAGTCTGACCCTGGATACATTTTAGCCAGCTTGCTCCTAGACAGATGAAGCCTAAGCACCTTAAATTGTAGAAATCCGTGTCTAATACATACAGAAGATGAGTGTACCAATTCTATTGCACACTCCCAGGCTGTATCTGATACCAGTTCCTCCCGCCATTGCCTCCTTATATGATCTAGAGATGGGGAGGCGGTTCTTTGAATAACCTCATATAGAATGGACACCATACCCCTTCGAAAAGGGTCCATATTTAGCAACTCATCCTATATATATATATATATATATATCCAAAACACACTAAAATGACAGATAGTACTGTAACGCATATGCTAACATTCACATGGTTTTAGGTTTCTGGCAATTAATGAGACATTGCACACAAACTCAGATTAAATAATCATACATTAAATATGAACACAGTGTGTGCTCTACATGCTAGGAATATATTTATTCATTTATTTATTTGTTAAAAGGTACAAATACAAGTATCTTGTTGATTATTTTATCATAAATGATAGCACCTGATATCAACCGACATTTGAAAAACTTCTGAAACTTTTGCAAAAATGGCTTGAGACTAATGGAAAAAACGGAAACCCATTTGAAACAAAAAATACTTTTTCTTGATCAGTGTTAAAATAACAGATTCTTTGGCATTTCAATGGAGTCACCAAATTGACAGCAGATCTGTGGTGATACAGAGTTTCCAGATATGAAAACACTGAAGGACAAAACACAAAAAATGAATACTTTATGTAGAACAAAAGGATGGAATTCCACAAAATGCGCATATTGTAGTTTCTAATTTTAACATGTATGATTCCTCAGCACAATTTTAATGTTTCATGTTTTCAAGTAACTATTAAAGTCATGTCTGCTGTTGCAAGGCGCCATTCACTACCAAAAAGTCTTAACAGTTTTGGTTTAGACAAAAACAAAAAGTACGTTTTAAATATCGTAAATCAGTATGAATCTCACTCTATACCTTTATCTGTAGCAAACTGTAAATATAAGTGATATATTTCCTAAGACACCTGGAAAAATGCTATTAATAAAACCATTTTATAAATTATCCCAAGGGGTTCTTTTGTAAACAGGCTAGTCTTCTCCACAAATCATCTTCAAGCAGTCGCCGTAGCTGCCAGATACATCTGACTGAAATAAAGAACAGCCAGAAGTCACAGTCATAATCACAGAGACAATCAGTTCACACTGTACCACAACATCAGTTACAAGAACAAAGAGTGAAATCATCATTTGTGAGTTTATGATATCTCAAGGGCATGATTAAACTAATAAACCTGAAGATCAGGAAGAGATGTACTACTGGACTCCAGCATATTTTAAAGAACAATGGCAGATGGCCTGAACCTGTTCTAAAGTGTTTATATGAGTGGAGAATACTTACACTTATTTCCTTGTAGAGTGAACGCTGATAGAGCTTCTTGAATTCAGCTCTGATGTCCAGCATGTCAACCTCTCCACGGCTGACCATTACTCTGGTCAGAGTGGTTTCATCTGTACCTGCTCCCTGCAGGTTCACAAATAAACATCAGTGTTGTACAAACTCAATGACCGACAATAATGTGCTTCTATTTGTACCTTCATGCTTTTGTAGAGTTTTTCAGCAAAGTATGCAGGAGTACTCATCACACACTTTACTAGAAGGAAAAAGTGTATTAGATTAAAAAATGAATAAGTAAATATTTTTGCATCAAATTCCAAATGATTTTGCATTTAGAATGTATAAATACAAATTGACTGTACCAATGGCAACCAGCAGTTCCTCCAGATCTCCAGATATTTCCTTCTCAATGCTCTTCTGCAAAGTCTTGCCACTGATGTTTTTATATTCCAATATTGCTGTAACAGGACAGCAATGTCAATTATATATAAAACACACCTGCCATTTAAGTTTCTATGTGAAACACTTTGGATGATTAATTTGGATGATTAAGTTGGTACTTTGTCTCAGGTGAGGAATGCTCCTTTTACAGAGGATCTCGATGAACTTGGACTCATCAGTTCCCAGTTTCTTCTCGCCTGCATGATAGAGGGCCTATGGAGGAAACAGAGAACATGTAGGTGCTCACATCTAATCATAAATAACATCATCTTTAATACAGGTGAACTGGTTTCGGCTTGCTCTCCCACAGTGGATGGATTCAAGAGAACTGAATCACGTGTAAGACTTAATTATTGGAATAAAAAGGAAAACAAGGTAAAAGACTAAGTTATGGAGGTGTTTATATATATATTGTCATTGTTATTAAAAAGATCTGATGCCATGTTTTTTATTCTAAACATTTTAACACAACATATACATTTATGCCAGATCTGTTGTGTTATTATATAAAAGAGGACCTCAAGATATGAAATGAGTTTTCTATACCTTTGCATCCTCTCTAGCCTTGTCTGCATTCACATTGGTGCTTTCATCCCTCGCACCCTTACAATGAGAGAAAAACAACATTAATTTCCAGAGCTGCCTTTATTACAATAAACTGCCATTCATATGTATTTAATCACCTCAGCAAGCAGAAGGATGGCTTTGCCAAAATCCCCTGAAACTTCTGTCTTTAGCTTCTGCATCGGTGTTTTCTTAGTTTCTATTGGGCAAAGGGAAGGGAAGCAATTATACATTTTTGTAACTTTCTATATTCTATATGTAACTATATTTTGTTACTACAATAGATTCCTCATCTCACTCTCAGCATATGCTGCAGACAGCTCCTTGATTTGTTTATTTGTCCGTGAGGCAAGTATTTCTATCAGGATGTTGATGTCCGTTCCAGCCCCCTGAAAAACATCCCATAAATGTCAAGATACAAAAAGAAGGAAAAATCTGTCTCACATTGGTACAAAATATTCAAAATGTTCACAAAAATCACTGAAGTCTGACTCAGAACACTGTACAAGGAGTAACATTTTTCCACAAGGGAAAATTAGGAAACATAACTTACTTTGATTGCTTTATTTAGCCATTTAGCATCATTAACTGCAGGCGGTCTTGCGAGCGCAACAAGCAGGTCCTCTAAGCTGCCCTGGGTATCACCTTTTAGGTCATTAACAAGAATCTAGACAAAAAAATTAGCCCGATTTTCACATGAACACAAAAACACACACATTCAAAAGAGTATCAGAAAGAGGACACAGATTTACCCTCTTTGTGGTTTCTTCATATGCCTTTGAAACAGCCTGTTTCTGACTGCTGCTCCTGTGAGTCAGTATGTCTATCAGTGTCTTGTCAGTTGTACCTGGTAAGTGAAATTATTGTAGTTTGATGGAACAAACAATATATAAAGTGAACGCAACAAGAAGAATACGGGAATATACAATACAATAAATTATACCTATGCCTTCAATTGCTTTACGGAGAGCTGCAACATCTTCACTGACATTGATGTTAGCTTTGGCTTCAATGGTACCTCTCTCCCCTGGCTGAAGAAGAATGAGCAGTAAAAAAAAAAAAAAAGTATTGGAAGCTAGTTGTCACACTGGGAATTTGTCACAAGGGCTGTATCTCAACTATATGGTTTTAAGTTACTGTGAAAGAAGAGGGGGCACGAGCAAAATTATACAAGTCATCTTGCAATACAAGATATTAAATCTCGGCAAATTTGGTTTCAACAAAATTCTTCATTCTTCACTTTCAGGGAGTGCAGTCGTTTGCAAAATTTTACTTACCCACAAGTCTGACATTTTTGATTGGGAGGATTCTATAAACAAACACATTCACAGTTCAGATTCGATTCAGTTCATCGGTTACTAATAATGCATGATCTTTGTGGTTACACGGTCATGCAAAACTCATGCAGGAGAATCTATTTCATTCACATTTACTTTTCTTGCTTTCATTTTTATTAAAAAAAAAAAGGTCAATGACTTCCCTCCAAAACAGTTTTAAAAATACTCAACAACAAACAAGTTTCGACAAAGGCTGTATAGTATTATCTCCTAACTGCAGCATCAGTTTAAAGCATTTCTGCCTTTAAAATATGCTGGCCATCAAGTGGATAGCCAATGCTTAAGTTATGTTAATTAAACAAACATTTATAATTAGTACTACCTACGGGTTTTGTATGCTTTTAAGTCTTCTCTCTTACCTTCGCGATACAAAAATATAGACGGCACTCTGTCCGGTGTTCTGTCGATTTGTGCTACCGTCAGATTTTGCTACCTCCCATTAAAACAGTGGGTAGTACAATTCGACAAGTTGTCACACTGGGAATTTGTCACAAGGGCTGTATCTCAACTATATGGTTTTAAGTTAAAAGTCTTCTTACAGGTCAAGTACCTTTTTATTTACTCTAGCAATTTTAAATGTTACTGATTAAACTTAATGTTTACTTTTTTCAGTTGTTTAAATATAATAGGCTGGACAACATGTAGCCTATCCAAGTCTTCTTAGTTTGCAAATAAATTACCTTTAAAATATAAAATATTCAAGCGTGAAAGTGTGACAATTAGTGGTGGTCAAACGCAAATTTATTAAATATTAAATTACACATACAACAAAAATTATATATATTAACGTCTACACCTACCGCAACCCTAAACCTACCCTTACAGTGATGCAAATACAGTAATTGAGTGTTATATTCGCGGTTGTAGCTAGAAGGGATACAGCTACTGGAAACCAACAATAAATAATTTTTTCTACCTATTATATTGTGTTTTATTAAAGTCTACACCTACCCAAACCCTAAACCTACCCTTACAGAAATGCAGATACATTCAATATTGTTGTTCAGCATGAGAAAAAGGATGTGCGCATGCCCAGTAAACCCTGGTAGGACAATCTGACGGGTAGGATAAAATGTCAGGACACCTGTTTTAACTTCTCCTCACCTGCTTTTCAGGGCGTGAGAGACATGATGCCACGATCTCAAAAGGAATGCATTCTTACTGAGCCTCTCCCTTCTTGAATAACGAGCTGCTATTCACTTTCTACACAATTCAAATGTAAAATGGACATTTATTTAGTTCTTCCAAAACAATTTCATTACCATTATAAGTAGGCTACTATTACCGTAACACATATAACAATCATGTGAGGTGAAGTTGTCTCACAGGATAAATCTGTTTATTGCACATAAAAACTCAAAGTCTCCTAAAACTGAAGTTGGTGATAGATTAAATAAACATACATTAAATTTGAGAAAGTGTACCACACATTCGTAATAGGTTTATTAATTTTATTGCTAAAAAGGCACAAGTACAGGCATCATGTTATTTTACCATAAATGATAGCACCAAAAACTGATATCTCCAAAATGTTTCTGTTTGATAGGCACTCACTTAGACACATATTAATGGACAAAATGGAATAAAACATCAAATACAGAGAGAGAGAGAGAGAGAGAGAGAGAGAGAGAGAGAGAGAGAGAGTTTATCATAAAGTAATAATTGTAGCATTTCCCACACTACACCCAGTGCTTTAAAGATTCTGGATATTCTTGATCAAATCAGCACATGTGACAAGTGATGACTTAATACAACAATACAGAAAATTTGAGTGAATGAACTACACAAACAATACAAACTATAGATGTGCCTTACTTAATACATGATGTGACATAAATACAAGACTAAATAATGCAGGATAACATGAGGTGGATAATCTTAAAAAAAATCTATGTGAAGATTTTTGGTAGTGTTTGGTTATATCAGTACAGACAGCAGTCATATAAAACAAAAATACGTTGTTGCTTTTTTCCAGTGTTGTAAAATAATAAAGGCTACAGCATTTCAATGGAGTCAGCAGACTGACAAATCAATAGTGGTTATCAAATCTATGATCTATTTTCATACAATTCATCAAAACACTTGGTTTCTCGTTGACATGTACCAAAGGTTTACATAAACTAACAAACGCATCACTTTGGGCAGTCTATTCGGATTTGGAATTAAATAAATCGCACTTGACAAATATCAGCATGGCACACCGGTGATCAGGCCAAAAGTACAGTAAATTAGACAATGAGGCAGAGCATCAAAAACCAAATCAAAATACAGGGACGAACATGTCATCCGATAATTGCACTTAATAAACGTATTTACATCACTCGCCCCGTCCAAAGTGTTGGCACTTATCCTTACTTTAATACTTTCATGTGTTTTTACTGACATGACAAAATAGCAGGTGCAGTGATACAAACTCTCCATTCGTTTAAACAAAGTGGCTGAGCTACCACTGAGCCGTTGTATGATTCTTACACAGAGCGATGATTTAAAACTGAGATTGTAAAAGTAAGATCTGATGACACCATTATGTGTTGTTCATTAATGTTTGAGGTAGCTCAGTTGTGAAATGATTTACACTGCATAGCTGGCAAGCATACTTTCCCTTTTATCCTCATGGTCATACAAAAATACATTAACATCATGTCATTACAAATATTTATAGAAAACGTTTCTTCTTCTCATTAAATACTCTACTGTAGAAGGTCAGACTTCAGTGCCGTCATTCAGGTTGTTGTGCAGTTTGACCTCCAGATTGACCTGTTTGATCTTGACCCCACTGACCTTGTAGGTCTCTGGGTTCTTGTTGAGGACGTTGACGTTTCTTACAGAGCAGTGCTTGCTGTTGAGGTTTTTCTCCAGACGTTCTATACAGACCTCCACCTTTGTATTCAGAGGATAATCCTCCACTGCCTTCACAGGCCTCTTTTTTACAATCCTGCGGCACTTTCTGACCATGAGGCAGACGGCTAGAAGGACCAGGAAAAGTAGGACGATGGCTGCCATGCCACCCCCAATGGATCCTCCCATCTGGGGATTGAAGGTGCCCGATGGTTCCACCTCAAGCTTCAAGGTCTTCATATTGGTGCCATTCTTGACCTGGTCACCTTCATTGTCGTAGATCAGAGATTCATCCAGCATTAGACGACCTGAACGGTCCACCAGATCTCGGCGACTTCGTTTGAGCTCATAGGTCACTGAGCGCTGGATTCTGGGAGCAGATATGGACTCGGGTCCAATAACGTAGATGACTTGGAGGTACCACTGGTGCCCTGCCTCAACCTAAAGAAGAGCAAATGCAAATAAGATTCTAACCCCAGCAAAATAACCCATTTACATACAGTACATTATATCCCCTTTATAATCTTGTCCTTTAGCCCAGTTCCCTATAGTCATGGCACACTGTCAGCCTGGCATCTTTTACTAAACAAACGGATCAAGGCACTTCCCTGAAGGGTACAACTGAATAGCTCTGGCTTTGACATTTGTGTCAAAGAGAAGGTCTGTTTAACAACTTGACTTTTTGGTGAATCTTGCAGCCACTGACCTTATAAAGGGCATCCACCTTTACTGTGAAACCGTCTACACCTGGCATCGCAGACAAGGACTGGAGATCAGGAATGTCAGATGCAAACTTGGCTTCAAATGGAACATCATGGAAGTAGCGATCGCAGACGTCAGGCTGCTTCCGGTCCTATGTGATACATTATTTACAATTACTACACAGCTCTCAGGAATACTTAATCTGTGATCTATTATTTGTACTGAAATTCAGCTGAAAATTACCCTCAGAGGACTCCAGTGTTACTATTATTGCAATACTGATGGCATGTTTGTCTTGATCAACGCTCTCTCTTAGAGGAAGCTTTAAGATAATATACTTCACCGTTCAAAATAGTGGAGTAAATAAAATTTTTTAGTCAACCAAGGTGCATGAAATTAATCAAAAGGCTTCTTGAGCATTAGAGACATCTTTCAAAAAAAAAAAAATAAATAAATATATATATATATATATATATAAAAAAATCATATAAACCCCAAACCTTATATTTGAAATTCTTTTGTGAAAATGGACGAATGTACATTACCTCTTACTTAATTATTAACTGTTGCCATATTTTTTCTTGTCTTTTCATTTTCATTGCATTTTTAAAATTCTCTGCTGTCAAATCATTGTAGGATATCAGACCGAATCAGACAATCTAAGATTTGGTCAAAACGCATCATCATTGCTGTCAGTCTCAATATTAGGTCCAAGATACTCAAAAACAGCTTGAACTTCAAAGTACTCCTTGACAATTTCCATCCACAGAAGTGTATGAGTTAAAACTTAACCACACCATATGAATCTTGTTAGACTGGTTAAACTGGTCTGGACTTGTTACAATAGACACCTACCAGAAGCAGGAACTTGTGTTTTAGGTGCTTGTTCGGTTGAATGCAGCCATACTGAGGGCCTTCGTTGTACAGAGTGCCTGTGGGGTCGAAGAAGGGCACATAGCCATCCCGTCCTGTACACAAATATACTTTCTCTAGCTGCAACTTATAGGCCGAATTCAAGTTCTGGTCAGGATTCCACAGCACTCTGCCATACAGCGTTTGACCTGCATAATATCAAACAATGAATGAGTGAAAGCATAATAGTGGCGGTAATTATTTGTTTTCATTACTTTGCTAATTTTACCCATCGAAAAGGCTCCTTTATAGTCCATCTCAGCAACAGACATGTCTGCGAGAGCAGGATCCATTAGAAAGACTTTCTCATTATTGCAAAGCTGAAACTCAGTATTCAGAGAGTAGACTACAGGAACAGGGCGGTTCGTCTGCTGGAAGGCGATGGGCAGCAGGAATCTATGGATTGAAACAGTGTTAAAAGCCCTTGCGTGATATTGAATATTCTTGTTGACTCACACAAACAGTCTGCACCTGATGAAACCTGTAAAACGAGTCTACTAAAA